CAGCGCTGCGCACCCCTCAGGGAGAGGAGAGCCAGGTCCCGGCCTGGTCGTGGCCAGTAGCCAAGAGCAGCCCTCGGTGGTGTCTGGACCTCGGGCCAGGGGTCAGATTCCCACCCTCCGACACAGTGGGCAGCACTGAAGGGCCGCCTGGGAGGGCTGCTTCCTCTCCATTAATCAATTATCCCAGTTTAGAAACAAAGTCACCCTTGAGCCAAGGCCAGGAGCGCTGGACCCGCCGGGGCCTGCTTCCCGCCCGCATGCCCTCAGGGGCGGCCGCCTGCTCCCGCTGCCTCCTGGCAGAGCCCGGGGGCCCCCACAGCCCCGCAGCCCTGCCTGCCCACTCCCCGGACCCCACCAACCGATCCCCTGCTCCGGTGGGGAAAGAGGCTCCTTCAAAGGGACAGGCCTGGGCATGGAGGCTCCAGGCAGGACCACTGAGGTCCCTCCCCGCAGAGTAGGGTGGGGCTGGCGGGGCAGGCCCACAGGCTCCCGGTCATTCCAACCAGCTCAGAGGGGGACGCTAAGTCTCCTCAGATTCCAGGCTGAACCTTCCCTGCCGTCCATCCCCACCAGACCCTCTGGGCCAAACTGACTCCCTCCCTGCACTCTGCTCCTCTACCCCCACCTTTCTCCCACCTGGGAAAGCCCACCCTGCCCCACCTGCACCTCTCTAAGCCTTCCTCAGCCCACAGGCCCTCCTCCAGGAAGCCCTCCGGACCACCCGGCCCTCTCCTGGGAGTCAGCAGTGACGCCCTGAGAGCTGTGTGGACCCGGGAGTGAGTCCCAGAACTGCCTGAGATGGGCCCAACCCGCCCATTTTATAGGTGAGGAAACTGAGGCCCAGAGGGTACCAGGGCCAAAGCTTCTTGGACCAAGAAGTACCTAAGGTGACCGGGCCTCAGACCTCAGAGTCTGCCCTCGTTCCCCGAGGTCAGCAGAGACCAGGTCATGAGAAATGACCAGTGGCCACTGTGTCACCATTTATGACACAAAAGGAAGATAAGTTAAGACGTAGTACGTTCTGATGCATACGTTTCTCTTGCCTGTTTTTCCTGTAAGATTCCAGGGCAGCCGGCCTTGGGAAGCACTCGTCCCCGGCAGATCTTGGAGGGGCGGGGGGCGGGGGGAGGCCTCTGCCGTCTCTCACTCCGGGCAGGAGCCCACCAAGGGTCAGGGGCTGCCCGAAGGTGCCGGCCTGCAGGGTAGGGAGGCCGGCGGTCCTAGAGGGCATGCCGACCACAGGCCACCCCAAGGGAGAGGCCGCGTGGGTGCTACCCCCCACGGGAGCTCGGGGACTCTGTGCGTGCGGGGACCCCAGGAACATGGGGCCATCCTCCCCCACCCCTGTCATCCCTCACATCTCTCAGCGGGCCGGGCCTCTGGGGAGCGAAGGTCGCCACCACCCCCCAGGGCACCCTGAGCCTCACCTGCACTGACACCTGTGACCTGCACAAACGTCCCCCATACTTTATCCCCACAAAACAGGGCGGAGACTGGGGTCCGGCACGTTACCCTGAGGCCCACAGGCGTGTCAGATGACACGATGCCCGCCCTGGACAGACAGCCGCCCTGGACAGACTGCACCGAGGCCTTGTGCTGGGCCCCGCCCTCCCCCCCCCTCCCCCAGGCCCCATCAGCACAGGCTCCCTTTGTGCTCCTGTATCTCCTACAGAAAGCCTTGGGGGGGGGTGAAAGGGGGGCGGCAGGCAGAGGTGGGCAGGCAGGCCCAAGTTAAGAGGGAGGAGGCACCCAGGCGGGGGAGGGGCTCTTCCTAAGCACTCCCCTCCCCCTTTGCTCTCCACCATCAACCCAGCAGAGTCCCCTTCTCCCTCCCCCACTCTTTTGTTCAAATGAAAGAATTTGGGGGAACCAGAAAAAATACGGCTTTTATTTTCAAAACTGGTATCAGTTATAATTGGGGGGTGAGTTACATATGCCCAACTGTGCCAGGTCTCAGGTCTGGCGGCCCCAAACCCAGCATGGAGGGACCGGAAGGGAACAGGGGCGGCCTCTGCACAGGGCACAGTCCTCACACCAGCTCTGCAAACCCAGCCCTGCACACCCAACCCTGCACACCAGCTCTGCACACCCAGCCCCGCACACCCAGCTCTACACACCCAGCCCTGCACACCAGCTCTGCACACCCAACCCTGCACGCCAGCCCTGCACACCCAACCCTGCACGCCAGCTCTGCACACCAGCCCTGCACACCCAACCCTGCACACCAGCTCTGCACACCTAGCCCTGCACACCCAGCCCCGCACACCAGCTCTACACACCCAACCCCGCACAGCAGCTCTGCACACCCAGCCCTGCACACCAGCCCCGCACACCCAGCTCTGCACACCCAGCCCTGCACACCCAGCCCCGCACACCAGCTCTACACACCCAACCCCGCACAGCAGCTCTGCACACCCAGCCCTGCACGCCAGCTCTGCACACCCAGCCCCGCACACCAGCCCTGCACACCCAGCCCTGCACACCCAACCCCGCACACCCAGCCCCGCACACCCAGCTCTGCATACCCAGCCCCGCGCACCAGCTCTGCACACCCAGCCCCGTGCACCAGCTCTGCACACCCAGCCCCGCACACCCAACCCTGCACACCCAACCCTGCACACCAGCTCTGCACACCCAGCCCTGCACGCCAGCTCTGCACACCCAGCCCCGCACACCAGCCCTTGAACACCAGGCCTTTCTTCCAGGAGGTGGTGCCCTAGGAGGAGGCCCAGGGGCCACCCTCCAGCTTTGTCTACTGCTCCCTGAAGGCCACATCTGCCACCCAACTGGCCATTCCTGGAAGCCCCCGACCCTGGAGGGCCACGGACTGGTCACGAGCCCAGTCACCCCCCAGTACAGATGCTCCTGCCTGGGAGGTGGGCAGGGTGGGGACCCGGGGATCCACCCCTCTCTCCTCCGAAGCAGATCTCAACCGTGCTCCACCCCCAACAAGGCCTGGCACCGTGCCCGGAGACGGCATGGCCGGAAGGTTCCAGGTGCTCACTGGGCCAGACTGTGCTTCCAGCCCCAGCGCTGCTGAGCAGTCAGCAGCTTCCGGGCCTCCCTGACCCTAGATTCCTCTTCCACAAAGCGGAAGAAGTGAGGATTCGGGGGGCCACGCAGGCAGAGCGTGGTAAGGGCCAGGCGGGTGCGCCCGCCCGAGAGGCCGTTCCCACAGTGACCGTGGGGAGCAGGGCTGCTTTGGAGGCAAAGCCAAGCCTGGAGCCCAGGCCCCAAGAGGCTGGCAAGACCGCGGCTCCCACCCGGCCCCCCCCCTTCCCCGCAGCACCGAGGGTGGGTCTCCAAGCCCAGCAGCTGCCCCAGGCGCCCATCCAGCTGGGTGCAAAGTGCCCCGCTGGGTGCCTAGCCCTCCCCACTGCGCCCCTACCAGCCCATGTACCCTGTGGTGCCCAGGAGGCCGAGGGTCAGGGTCTCATGGGAGGGGCGCTGCTCAGTACAAAGGGAGCGCCCATCAGTGATGCTCCAAGCTGGGCACCCGAAAGAGCGCCAGGCAGAGTGGGGGCTGGTGGCCACAGGGAGCAGGGTGGAAGGCGAGGGGCTAGAGAAAGACTGGCCCTAGCGGGGGGGTCCCGGCTGCTTCCCGAGGGCGAGACCAAGGACAGGCCACACTGCAGAGTCACGTCCTCGTGCTGCTGCCCATCAGGCCACAACCCAGTCCCAGCAACATCCCCAAAGGCAGCTGGAGGCCAGGACGTCCCTCCCACCCCGACCCCGCATAGTCCAGCATCTCTCCACAGCCACCTGCGGCCGTCATGAAAGACCCCGAGAAGAGGCGGAGCGTGGTAGCTGGGCCCCTGCATCCCCGCCTGGATCCCAGTCTGCGACGGTGTGGGGTGGGGTCACCTCTGTGCAGCCCACAGAGGGGCTCGGGATCTAAAACCACGAGGAGGCCTGGCTGAGGCTTGGAGCCTGGATGGTACAGGGCACAGGGCAGGGACCCCCTACCCCCAGCACCTGGAGGTGACAGCAGTCCTCACTCCGTGGCCCGGGCAGCAGCCCCCGCCCCCGGCCGCCCAGAGCCCAGGAAGCACAGAGCCTTCCGGCTAGCAGAGGGCATGCGATGAGCGGTCAGAGCCGCCAGAGCCTTCCCGACAAAGGTCAGCACCCCTGGGTACCAGTGCCCGGCTCAGAACTGTGGGACCCAGCACCTCCCCAGGACCCCTGCCTTCAGCCACGCTTTGGGGGGGGACACACTTGTGCATGCACAGGGAACGGCAAGGGCGCAGGGGTCCCCTCTGCAAACGGGGGCCTCAATTCCGCACGATTTCCTGGTTTCCCTCCTGTTGTTTACTGGGCATCCAGAGCCTTGAATAGCGTGTCGCAGGATGTACACCCCGTGTCCCCCTGGAAGAGGCCCCCAGCTGCTCACCAGAAGCAAGTTCAAAGCACCGGAAACTGTCCAGAGTGCTTCATTTCAATGACGGCCGTGGCTCTATGCCCTGTTCCGGCAGGAGCTGCGAGCTACACAGTCAGCAAAGAAATTCTGGACAAAGCAGAAAACCACCGGGGATACTCACGCCTTCCCCTCACGCCACAAAGTCAGGAGGAATGTCTGCAGGGGTTCTTTGGGGGACTTTTCGGGCATTCGTCTGCACCACCCCCACCAGCACCTGCTTTAAGCCCATCTACACCCGCAGCGCCCCCCGGCATCCAAGGCTGGATCCTCAGCGTGTCAGGCTCCAGTCTGCAGGGGTGTGACGTTTACTCAATCGGTCCCCTCGGGTAGGACACGAGAGCCTCTGGCGGGGCAGGGGTGCAGCTCAGGGGCCCCTGGGACGTGCTGCTTCCCTGCCAGCCCAGGGACCCCGGCCCATCCCTGCCCGCAGAGGGCGCGATCGGACAGGGAGCGCTCAGAGATGGCAGGGTGCAGAGGCATCCCGTGAGACAGGGTTACCTCCTCCCCCCACCCCCGCCCGGCCCGGCCCGCCCACACGGACCGCCAGGGCCTCGGTGCCTGCAGGGGACACCATGCCACTCACCGTGCTGACAGCGGGGACCGTGGAAGCCGCGGGGACAGTGGCACAGCTGAGCCGAGTCGGGCACGCACTGGCCGCCGTTAAAGCAGAGTCCGGGGCTGCACTGGGCTGTGGAGGGAGGGAGAAAACGCGTGAGGAGGGGCAGGAGCTTGGGGGCACCCCCAGCCCGCCGCCAGGACACAAGGTCCCCGGAGGCGCCTCCCCCCTGTAAGTCTCCCCACAAGGTGAGGCCTCAAGGCCTGGACAGAACCTGGACCCTCAAGGGACAGGAAAGCACCGCCCCCGGGGAGGGGGGCCCAGGAGGGTGGGTCACACACGGCCCACCAGGGCTGAAGCCCCACCGCCACAGCAGGGTCTGGGTTCAGTGAAGCCCCCCTGGGAGGGGCAAAAACCCCACTCCCTTCAATGGGACATGAAGGAGCTCCAGGGCATTTTCTGGGGGAGGTCGGGGGACGAGGGTGGAGAGTAGGGGGTGCAGGGGAACAGCCCACAGCTAAAGTGGGCTGAAAGCTTGGCCAAGGCCCCCTCCCCACAAGACCCCAACGGTGGAAATGATCAGACTGGTCCCACCCTCAAGGAGGGGCAGTACCAGCCCAGGCCCCCTGAGAGGGGAGGGAGGGAGGGTCAGGGCTGCGAGCGGCTGGCCTCCCCACCTTCTCCAGAGGAGACTCCCTGCTCCCAGACCCTCTCCCCACACCCCACCCCCAGCGGGGCCCAACGAGGCACCCTGAACCCACTGCCTGCGGTGCCCTAGGGCTACTGAGCCCCCTCCCGCTCCAGGCCACAGTGTGGAGGAGGCCACAGCCAGCCCAGGAGGCAGGGGCCCTGGATGGGAAGGGCAGGTGCAGTCCCAGCCCCATCACAGCAGGGACCCCGACCCGCACCAGACCGGGTACCCCTGGGGGGGGGCTTCAGCACCAATTTTCTCGGCCCCGCAGCCATGACCCCTACACCTACACAGGGCGGGCAAGGCCAGGGCAGGTGGGCTCTGCCCCCATCCCCGTGACCCCAACAGCCGGGCCCTGAGTCCAAGGGCTTCAGGGGTCCTTGCTGGGTGAGTAGACACTCTGAACAGTGGCCTGGACGCCCGCCAGGCACCCCAGAGCCCGGCGTAACCCAAGGGTTCAGCAAGCTTCTGTATCGCTGGCAGCATTCCCGCCAGGAGCAGGGAGAGAAGCTGGATGGTGGAAGAGCCCAAGGGGAGGGATGCCGGCCAGGCACACGGGTCCAAGCAGCCCCCTAGACGAGGCACCGCCCCGATGAGGAAACCAGGGCTCAGAGACACACAGCACATGGCCCGGGGTCACACAGCCGCTGAGGAGGGACCAGGCCCAGGGCTTTCTGACTTAGAGTCAGGAGGACCCTGCCGGGGGAGACATGAGGGGTCTTTGCAGGGAGCTTCTTCCTCCTCTTCTGTCCCATAACCAGGCTGCTGTCCCAGCCTCGGAGGGATCCCTCCTCTCGGGCCACCCTGCCGGGGTCCCAGCTGGCGCTCACTCACACCTGAAAAACTCCCTGAGGATTTCTGAAATGCAGTGGGAGTGGGGGGCTGGGGGACAAAGCGGGTGCTGCAGGGAAGCCCAGAGGAAACGCACAGTGACCCTGGAACCCGCACAGGTAATTCCGGGCCGGGGCCAACCCGGGCTGTGCACCAGTGTCCCCAGTGCTGAGGGCCTGAAACCTGTTGACTTGTGCAGTTTTGTAGAGGAAGAGAAGCCAGCTGTTTCCTTTTCACATCGTAAAGAGGTCTGCACCATCCTGAAGACCTTCAGCCCCAAACCACTGCAACGGCCCATGCCTCCGGGGGGAATCAGACGCCCAGGCTGGCGCCCACCCCGGGACTCTGCCCCCCAGCAGCCTCTGCAGGCCCCACCAGGTTCACGCCCAGCCTGGGGGTCCCCGCGGACAGCACCCTGCCTGCATCCACCTCCGCGGTCAGTTCCAGAGCTCAGGGGGAGGTAGCAACCCACTGCCTGCTCCCATGCCCCTTCCCCAACTTGGTACATGGTGTCACATGCACAGAGGGGCTCAGGCCAGAAACCCGGGAGCCGTCCTCACACTCGGCCCACATCCAATCCAAAGCCAGCCCATCGTTTCTACCTCCCATGCCCCTCGAGCCCACCCTTCTCTCCGCTTCAAGGCTGGACAAAACTGCCACCAGCATCCCCACGGACGCTGCACTCACCCACTCACCCGCGTCCTTTCTCTACGCTGCAGCCACTGGGATCCTTCACGACAGGAAGCAGACCACGGGCGCCTGGCTGAGAGCCCTTCCCTTCTGTGGCTTTCCATCGACTTGGCACAGAGCCCCCTAGCCACCCGTCACGCCCTAGCGGCTGTCCACCTGGACAAGTCGTCACTTCCTCAGGGAGCCTTTCCAAGCCCCCAGCCGAATGAGCGCTCATAGCGCCCTGTGGTTTCCCACCGCAGCACCTATGAGTGTAGCAAGCCCTTAACAGGGGCGACAGCTGAGCTCCCACCCCAGGCCTGGGCTCCCTAGGGGCAGGCAGCTACCGCACCTCCAACACCATCACGTTCCTTGGAGCCACCGACACGCCGACACTTAGAAGGGGCTCCATAGACTTTGCTGAATGAATGAGTAAAGAGATAAGAAATGTCAGGCCAAGCGGGACGTGAGACAGTCATTCGTCAGGAAGCCTTTGGGGCGAAAGGCAGGCGCTCAGGATGCAAGAGGGACGCACAGGGCAGCACATCCTTAGATGGAAAAAAGAAAAGGTTTCACAACAAAGATGCACAAAGCTATGCCCCAAACCAAGAACGGGTACTCCCTGCGGTCCCAAGGCTCTTGGGACGCGGGAAAGATGGGGTTACCGCGGCGGGAAGCCTGAGACCAGTGGCACGGGGTGGCACTGGGCACACATGCCTCGTGGCAGGACGGGCAGCCAGGGCACAGGGACGGGGCCTCACGGCAGAGCACCCGTGGGTCCAGCCCTGTGTGACCCCTCCCCCAGGCCAGGCGGGAGTCAGGGATGCCCCCGGCAACCCAGCCACCCCTCCCGCTGTCACTCAAGTCACCTGAGGGACAAGCGCCCCCCAAAAGACCCCACCGCAGCTGAGGAAGGGCCACAGGCGACAGGCACAGGACAGCCAAAACCTGGAAATGCAGCTCAGGGGCAGCAGACCGTGGCTTCCTATAAGGATGTGTTTTCCTCGAAGAGAAACAGGAGGGGCCGTGTGTGAGAAAAGAGTTGGCAGGTAGGAAAACAGACCCAGCGGGATGCATGGAAATGAAGAATATGAAAACTCCACATACAGGTGTTAAATGAAGGTTAGATGCTTTGAAAACAGTTTACAGATTGCTAAGTAACAGACGTGTTTTATACTTAACATCAGCTACGTTTTTAATGAATTTTATGAGAGCCTACTGTAATGCCAGGCGGAGAGCAGGGGGCTGCTTTGGGGACCCACCCTCGTGGCCCTTGGCTGGGACTGAACCCACAGGACCCTCAGGGGCCCTGGAAGGAACTGTCAGAACCCACGAGTGTGAGAAATGCAAGAACAGCTGGAGGTAGGCCCGGGGGTGGGGGCACGGTGCCCACAAGGTCTATGGCTGCCAGGAGGCCACGTCCTCCGAGGCTACAGGATGCTCTCGCCCTCCCCAGACCCCGCTGGTTCCCGCCGCCCAGAAGCCTTCGCAGGGCAAGGCAGCTCAGGCTCTGTAGATCCGTGTTCAAGTCCCAGCCCTAATACTTATCAGTGGTTGGAAATTTGGGCTAAACTCCCCTATACACGTCAAACGCAATATTCTCACAGACCCGTCACGCTCTCAGAGTGTCGCCTCCACACTGTCTCCTGGAGCTGAAGACACCCACAGCCCCCCAGCAGCCCACGTCCAGGGACCACAATCTCCTCACGCTATAGACCGGGAGCCAAGGTGCGGGCACGTTGGCCAGGCCTTCGCCTTGGGGTGAAGCTAGGCACACGTGCCCACATTCCTAGAACCAGAGGCTGGGAGGGTCCTTAGGGGTGTCCAGTCCCGAGGGTGCTCCTGGCCGAGCCTGGGTGCGGGACGGCAGATTTAGGCAGCACAGCCCCCAGAGCGAGGACACCATGTCCAGGCATCGCCAGGGGCATCCTGGTGCCAGCCACTTCCCCTCACGGCGAAAGGCAGGAGACACCTGTGCCTGGCCGGACCCTGATCAAGCCCACTGGCCGTGGCGGCTGCAGCCGCACTGTTCCAGGATGGGCTGGCCATGGAAAGGGGACTCGACTGCTCTCCAAGGGCTCAGTTTCTGCAAGTTCAGCCCCTGGACCGCTTCCCTGGACCTGGGCTTGGCTGAGACCACGGCTCCTTCTCTCCACCCCCCAAGGGGCTAGTGGAAAGCTGAGTGAACCGCAGGCGGGAGAGGGTGACCCAGGCAGACACCTTTGTCCAGCCTGCCAGGCCACCCACCCACCCACAGGCTACGAACACACACCGAGGTCACCGAATGTGTTTCTGGGAGCCAGCCTGCAAGCGAGTGCCCCTCTGCGTCCCCAGGCACCTCCGCCCAAGCTGCCCAGAGACCCCCGCAGGGCGGGCTGACTCAGCTCAAGGTCACGGGGACACAGGGGCGGTTCCCTCCGTATCGCCCAGGCTGCAGGGCAGCGTTTCCTAAGCCTCGTCCAAGTCGCTGATAAGAGCTGCCGGTGCACGGGCGGGCGTGGGTGCCCAGCTCAAGCTGACAGTGGCTAAGGAAAGGAGGCCAGTTCCCTGGGAGCCCAGGGGACAGAGCAGGCCCTGAGCCCTCCCGTCTCCTCCCTCTCACCCTGTTCCTCCCGGCCTTCCACCCAGCGCTGGCCGAGGGCTAGGGACCCGGATCACACGCCCCACTCCAACCACCCCTGCTGGGACCCCTGCAGCAGGGAGGGAGCCACCTCAGCTCCATGCTGGACACTCAGGCTCCAAGTGCTTGAAGAAAGGCCAAGCCCTCCAGGCCAGCTGCCCGGTGCCCTGTGCCTAGACCAGCACCCACCACACGGGGGGTCCCAGGAAACAGGCGGGCAGACAGACACCCACTGCCCAGAGTTGGGCCCGGCTCCCAGAGCCCCTGCATGGTGGTAAGTCCAGGCACAGGCGAGCCACGCCGGCTTTGGGAGACCGTGTC